TATGTTTTTGTTGTCACTCTGTAGTTTGCCGTACTTTGAGTGTAGTTAGTCATAAGCAAGGGACAGGATGACTGTACTACCTAGAATTAACCATGGCCATAAAAATTTGCCTGGTCGGGGCTGATCTATTGGGAGCTCACCAAAGCCAGCTGGACTGTGACTGGAACAGCATGGGATAAAACCGGACTCTGATCATGGCGAACAATGAGGACTGATGAGAAGCCAAGGTCAATGGCAAGGGGTTTTGATCCTACTTCATGTTCTGGCTTGGTGGGAGCCTAGCCAGTTTGGATGTTCACCTTCCTAGACATGGAGGGAGGGGGGAGGACCTGGGACTTTCCACAGGACAGGGAACCATGACTGCTCTTTGGATAGGAGAGGGAGGGGGAGAGGAGTGGGGGGAGGGGGAGGAGAGGGGGGAGGGGGAGGGAAATGGGAGGCTGGGAGGAGGCGGAAACTTTTTTTCTTATTCTCAATAAAAAAAAAAAAAATTTGCCTGGTCACGGCAGGTAGATCTGACAGGAGAAAAATAAAGTTACACTGGAGAACAGGCTCTAAGCAGTCCCGTGTTGGTAACCTAGGGATATGAAATTGTGGGGAGGTTCCTTCTGTTTCAGATGGCTAAATTACAGTGAAATAGACTAAAAAAAGTAGGCAGTATTCAAATTTTGGGTTTTGGTCTGTTCACCTACAAAGTGATAGCAGTGCCCAGAAGTAGTGTACCTGAAGAAAGACACAGAAATAGGCCGACCTCTTGTCTTGATGCTTAGCCTTGTGGAAGCCGCTTTCCATGCTTTTTCTCTAGGTTGGGCTGTGTTTCTCTCTTCACCTTGAATATCTGTTTTCTTTTTTTTTCTTTCTTTTTTTTAAATTTATTTATTTATTTATTAAAGATTTCTGTCTCTTCCCCACCGCCGCCTCCCCTTTCCCTCCCCCTCCCCCAATCAAGTCCCCCTCCCTTGTCAGCCCAAATAGCATTCAGGGTTCTCTGCCCTGTGGGAAGTCCAAGGACCACCCACCTCCATCCAGGTCTAGTAAGGTCAGCATCCACGAAACTGCCTAGGCTCCTGAATATCTGTTTTCATGTAAGAGATCCGTTCCATGAAGGCATACTAGAAAGATCCCAGTAAGATGCCTCAATGTTTTTCCTCTTTGAACCAAATCATTTCATACTAGAATCTCTAAGGATTTCACTACTATAGTTAATAATTATACTACATGGTACTACAGCAAAGGATAATGCTAGACAGGAAAGTATGGGCTTTGCCTGTTTTTCCTCTTCCTCTAATCCATATATATATATAGATAAAATTGTTCATAGCCCTCTTTTTTTTCTCTCTGTATTTAAATGTATTTTTCTTAAAAAAAAAAAAAAAGACAGGTGACCAAACCCAGGGCTTTGAGCATACTAAGTATGAACTTAACTACTGATTCTATGTCCCCCATCTCCAGATCCTTTCTTGTTAGGGTCTCATGTTATTCCAAACTGACTTTGAATTTACTGTGTAACTGGGGCTGGCTAGCCTTGAACTACTATCTTCTGTCTCAACCTCCAAGTGATAAAATTACAGACAGGTGATAAAATTACAAATCTGATCTTGTTTACTTTCCCCTTCCCTCTTTCCCCCACCCCTTTGTTTACAGTCAGCTCTGTTTTCTCTATGAAACATTCTATTGTGTAACTCTGGAGATATCCATTGCCACGTTGACTCAGCAGTTACGGTTATCCATATAAGACCTTACAAGATTAGACTCACTACACCTCTCTTGGAATGATGAAGGGGTAGATCCTGGAGTTTGCTCACCAGGTTCTTATCCTCCTCAAGAATAAACAAGTGCTTAACAACTTCTAGAGGAGGTTCTGGAGGTGGTTGTCATGCTCTGTAAGCAGCCCCTCTCTCATGCTTCTGTAACTCCAGTTAAACCCAGCAGTTCATCAAGCCAGACTTGGATGAAACCCCCTTTCCATTTGCAGTGGACCTGTGGTCATTTGTCACTTAATGATGGAAGCATATTTTGTAAGGTAACTTGGTTAGCTGTTTTGTTGCCGAGTGAACATCAAGTAAGTGTACGTGAATAGAGTATGTTAGCATAAACAACTGTGATCCCATACAAGGGAGATACGATGGAGACACAGGATCTCCAGAAGTTTGTTCACCAGGTACGATGGTAAACTCAGCAGCAAAGGGATCCTGTTTTAGACAAGGTGGAAAAACAGTAGGAATTATATCCAAAGGTTCTTGTCTGACTTTTACATGGACTCTGTGGTATGCATGTGCCTGCAGATGTGTGTATATAAACATGCACACTCACATATGCACACATGCATTTATGTGTACATCAAGAGGAATTACTGTTAAAAATTGGTTGCAGCAGTGTATGCACACACATATTTCAGGAGGAGGTACTATGACAAAATGGATGCAGTTTTGTCTTTCTTTTTGACATGGTATGTACATGCACGCAAGCACACTTGCACGTGTTTCCTACAACAATCATGGTAATTTAGTCAGATGTTTTGCTAATTGTCAGGAAATATGTTCTCTAAAATACCTCAGCTTCTTTTAGTATCATGATACCTATTCAGTAAAGAATTTTTGAACAAATTATTTTAGATATGAATATTCAATTATAGTTTTAAATTTGCCTTTATAAAGAAATAAAGTGTTTTTGTCATTTCTTATTAATTTTTTGTATTCATATCCTCTATATTTATTGTTGTTTTATGTAGCACAGAGAAAAATTTCCTTGAGAAAATTCTGGTAAACTTAGCTTAATAAGATGGTAGTACAGTGTCAGTGATGAATAAAACATGGTGGTTTGGACATTACAGGGACCTAGGTTCTTAAGTGATTTGTCGCTCATCCAACTCATTAACCAAACGAATAACAATCATTTCAGGATTTTATAGATTTTAAAATGTATTCATTTCTTGTTTATATATGCCCACCAAATTTTAACTAAAATTTTATTTTGCTTTTATTATTAGGGTAGATTTGAAGACTTAGAGAAGGTACTGCAATTTAAATAAAAGCACTTTGCATATTGAAACCAAAACCAAATTATAGTTGGAAGGTTATCTTCAAGTATCTTAGCTATCCCATATATAGAATAAAATTCTCTTTTATTCTTTTTCTGTTCTCGCTCCTTTTCCTTCCTGTTTCTAGCAAACTGAATTGTAGTTTAGTGTTTGGTTCACTTCTCCCTCATCACTTATAGTAACTTTGGGTTTTATGTTGTTTAAGGTTGAGCTTAAAGGACTTTAGTTACAACTTAAATCTTGTGGTATCATAAATTAAAACTTGCTGTTTTTAAAAGTTAAAGAGGTTATTTGTCAGATTACTTATAAAATTTTCTTCAAATGTGAATTGACTTTTTGGAAGTGTCTTCTGACATTTTAAAGATAAATTCACAACCCTCTGCTTATTAAAGAAGGCGATGACAGGGTCATTTGTTTGTTTGATGATTCGTATTTACTGCTAATACTTTACTTTAAAATAATAACATTTCAAAGGCACCATTTGTCATTAAATACTGTTTCAACATCACACACAACTTGTTCACTGGGCTATTCATTTGAAGAATTTATTGCTTGATATATTATTTCTTGCTTATTTGGATAAGTAATAATTATTATTTTAGAACTTAAAAATATCTACCCTACTCATAGTTAATTTTGACAGCCTCAGTACTCTGATATGAGTAAGATTCATTTTCATAAAATTTAAAATTGGTCAGATTTGGTGGTATACATCCTTAATCCCAACACTTGGGAGGCAGAGACAGGCTGATCTCTGTGAATGCAAGGCCAGCCTGATCTCCATAGGTCAGCTAGGGCTTCATAATTAGAATCTGCCATATATATATATTATATCTTTATATAAAAATATTTATTTATAAATATATATTTTAAAATTAAAGTTGTCTTTTCCAACTTCAGTGGTATAATATTTTATCCTTTTATGTTGTAAGTATAAATTTAATTCTGAAGACAGTATAATGAGGAACTTGAGATTCCTTAAATGTGTTTTGAAGGTAGCAATTCAAGATAATAGGGACTTAAAGAGAGCATGTGTGAGTTTACTTTGTTAATCTATTAGTAGTCTGAGACAGTGTGAGGTTGCATTGCACTGTATTCCTTCCTGACTCCTTATAAGATAGCTGGATGTTTAGGGTTTTGTGAGTGCTGGCATATGGCGTGATTATTCCCAGGGTTGCCCATCTTTCCTGTATTTGGAATTTCAGTTGGGAATAGAATTATGAATGCAGTCATGGTCCATCTCTGACTTGAGACTATGTTACACTGTTTCATTCCGCAATTAGCCTCTACTTTGGGCCTGTGTGGGTTTAATTCCCACTAGAAGTCACAAATGATGGTGGCTTTTGTATTGTCCGTGATGGGTTACCTCAGCCCTAACATGGCCTTGAACTTCTAGCAGCGTTCAGGTAGGTATTTTCCTTGTAAGGAGAACATTAAATCTGAATTGTGAGAGTATTTCACAAGTTTGAAGAGCTGAACTTTTCTTTGTACATCATACAACTGAACATATGCATATTACTTATTTTTTAGTTGAGAAACATGCTTTATGATATACTTGCTATATAAGGGAAACAGTCCCCCAAATGAAGAATTGATTTAAATTTAAAATAAATTGTTTTTACTTGAGTTATTTTTTGTTACCACTAAAGTTTTTAGAACTATATTTTGTGATTATAGCTGAGTGTAATATCCAATAGTGTAACCAGTGATCTGTTGGTGTGATAACCTAATGGCAAATAAATTCTTCACATACAAGTTTGAAATAATTTGAAAATCCTTTTAGGAAGAGTCCTTTGAGTACAACTACAGACTAGTAGAGTAGAAATTGCATATGAAGTGCATGGCCTCTTGTTTTTTGTTTGTTTTTGTTTTTTAATTTAACCTTCCCCTTCTTATTTTCCAAATGCCACTTTGTTTTACTGCATGGAAATTAAGTGGTGTTTCCTTCAACATTTGTTAGGTGAGCACACAGAATATGAAGATGGGTGGGCTGCCACGTACAACACCTCCTACTCAGAAGCCCCCAAGTCCCCCCATGTCAGGAAAAGGGACACTTGGGTGAGTAATACAGTAATAGATCATAGAAAACCATGTCATGTACTATTGTGTTTAAGAAAAAAATCTGTGTAAATTAGTAGGGAGAGTTATTCGTTTGTGTGTTCATCCGTCCGTCTGTCCGACTCCCCCCCCTTCTTTGGTAAGCACATCTTTATACTTTAAAAGTGGTTGTTTGGAAGTTATTCTTGTAGTGAGTTTTAAATTGTGACAAAATCCTAGCCTAAATTCATGGCTAGTTATAAAATGAAGTCTAACTTCATTCTTTTGTCTTAGAAAATTTTAATGATCTTTTATATTGCAATTGCATTTATCAGGTTGTCCTTGTCAAGAGGCTTTGTGGATTTGTAACTTGTTATAGTTTGGAGTTGATTTTATTCTGTAAGTTAGAAGGAAGGTGTGACTTTTTTCTTGTGTAGTGTCTTTGCTCTGTCATGATTGAGGCTTGTGATTAGGTGGGTGTGATACCGTCCAGGAGCCAGCTGGTGATTCTGGTGTGGCTCCGCTCTCTGTGCTGTGGTCCTGTCATCTGTCATCAGTTCGTCAACAGCTCAGTTTCTTTCACCTGTAAAGGGGGCGATATTTGTCCTCTATCAACTTTCCATGATCACCGTAGTGCAAATTGGATTTTGAAAAATGTATAAGACACATTTTTAAATGGCAGTGGTGGCACACGCCTTTAATCCCTGCACTTGGGAGGAAGAGGCAGGCAGATCTCTGTGAGTTCGAGGCCTGCTTGGTCTAAAAGAGCTAGTTTCAGGACACACTCCAAAGCTACAGAGAAACCCCGTCTCGAAAAACCAAAAAAAAAAAAAAAA